CCCTGAGGACACCAGCATTCAGGGGTTCTGCAGAGGAAAGGGAACCTCTATGTGAGATTGAGTCAAGGAAGGAACAAGAGGGGTCAAAGAAGCTAAATGGGAACATTTCAGGGCCGGGTCCCACAACACAGATGAATCCCTGAACATTTTTCTAAGAGAAAGATGCCAAGCAGAAGGGCTACAGGTGACATGGTTTCATTGGTTGGACATTTTGGAGAAGGAAGACTACTGGGAGAGGAAACGTGGGAGTGCCAGGCCCTGGGAACAGGGAGGGGTTGACTACAAAAATGGATAGATGGATGGATGCTTGGGTGGGTGGTGAATGGGTATACAAATAGGTGGGTGAATGACAGGTCCATTCACTCCTCCACACATACATTCACTGTTGTGTAAATAAGAACTGATCAATTCTAGTAAGTGCTTCAAAGAGACGAAGAGAGGTGAGTGACAGGCTGCCCGGGATCCATGGAAAGATTGATGCCTTAGATCTCTATGTGAGTGAGTCCTGGGTGATAGGTGAAACTGATCTACAAGACGCCATGTGCACCACTTCTTTCCAGAACAGTTTCTTGCCACGAACCCTAGAGCTTCCAGGAAAGGAGGCCTTAGCCCCAAGAGGCATACCTGTTGTGGGTAGAAGCTTAGCCAACAAGAGCGTGGCATTGGCTGGGCCCCACTTTGGCTGCTTCTCTCACCGCCCAAAACTGGCTGCAAGACTAGGTGAATCCTTTAGCCACTCAAAGCCTCTACTTCCTCAACTGCAAAATGGGGGCCACAAGCTGCTCAGAATTGCCCGGGAGATTTGAGGGCTTTGAAAAGTTAGTGCCACAGCCTTTGCAGGTTGACATGGGCGCCACCATCTCTGTGAGCTTGCTCTGAGGCACCTACTTGCCCCGAGTCAGACACTGCTGCTTTGGTCTGCTCCTCACCATCATAGCAAGCTTGTCTATCATGTGTTTATCTGTCCATCGGCACCAAGCAGACGGGATGTAAGGACACATCCACGAGACTCAGCACCTTGCCTAGTGCATGTACATAGTGCTCAGGAAACACACACTGATTCCTACGCTTTCAGGATCCAGGCATTTTCCAACCCACTGCTTTTTGAATACTTTTGGTGCCCTCTGAAAGTCAATCACCCTCTTAGATGAAGCTGCCCTGATCAGGATGCTCATGATATGCAAAATCTCATTTGATGGTTCCCGGAAAGCCCAGTGTCTGCAGAATGGGTACCTCATAAGTACTAGTTGAATAAATGTATTCATTTTGAGAACTAGCAGCAGTATTGACAAAACTGTAAAGCCTCTAAGGGACATCATTAATTCAGAACATTATCTATGTGCCTTTTTGTATGTAAACAAACACAAACCACAGTGTCATGGAGCATGATGTGGTATGCCTGTTATCCCAGGATTCTGAGGAGAACACAAGTTCAAGCCCAGCCTGAGCAACTTAATGAGAGCCCATCTCGTTCAGAGTAGAGGTCCTGGGTTCAATCCCCAGTACCTTTCCCCAGTCCCCAATCCCCAGTACCAGGCTCCAAAGGCAAGAACCTTAAAGGGGGGGGTCCTTCCTCTGCCCCTCCTCCATTCCCTTTGCCTGTCTCCCACCCAGGATCTGTAGGGTTCTAGGATCGTCCCTGCTACCCTGATCTCAGCTCTGCCTGCAGATAAATCTGTCCCTTCCCTACACTCCAACCCTGGATTTCTGCAGCTTAAAGGCTTAGTTGTGACCTCAGAAACCATGTGTGTGCCCTGCTAATCCTTCCCTCCTCCTGACAGGGATTTGGGCAGTAGAGATGCGCGCATCACGCCCTTGAACACAGCCCAGGGCTCAGTAAGGAGTGGGAGGAGCACGCAGGTCTCCCTGGGGACACGGAAGCTGCTCCTGCTTGTGGCCTGGGTGACTTGTTATTCTCCCTTGTTCTCCGCTTTTGTTTTCTCTCCTACCTTCATAGACCATGTCCTCCAGAGCTGTGGGGACAGAATGGTCCCATCGATTGACAGTTCTCCGATTTAGCTCACTTAATCCTTCCAGCACTGCAGCCTGCTGTGTATGATCCACACTACTAGGCGAGGGAACATCCCCAAGCTGTTAGCAACATGCCAGGGTCACAGAGGTCAAAGGGCAGGGGGCAGAGACACCTCCTGAAGCCTCTGTCCATCTGCTTCTGTGCTGGGTGTAATGACCTGTCTGCAGTTCCAAGTCGTTGCTGTTGGTGGCAAAAGTGGAGGGACAGGGTCCCCCCACAAACCTTGCCAGGTTTTGGAGGATCCTACCTTAAAGACATGGATGGACTGGGCTCAGTACCAGCTGACAACTGGGGAGGGCAAGTGGCCCTTGGCCTGCTGTAGCCTTTGCTGTCCATGCCAGCATGTGTCCCCCACCCTGAGGATGGCTGTGTCATCACGCTGTTTTTGCAGCTGTTGCCACTGAAGAGGCCGAGAGCCAGAGAGGTGCAGTGACTCAGCCAGAGAAGCTCATGGGTAGTTGAGCCAGGACTCCAATCTACAGTGCAGCATGATTTCTGGTCTCTGTTTGTAAGTCTGGGTACCCCAAGCTGTTCATTTCCCTCTGTGAGCCTCACCTGAAGGCAGAGACATGTATGGCTACAGCTCCTGCCTCATGGGTTTGGAATGTGCTAGGAATATGAGTGAACCCTGAGAGTGGAGGATCATAAGCAGCTGGGAACTCTGCTGGTCAGCTGCAGGCTTTTCTGGAAAAATCAAGGCCATGGTCGGCGTTGCTGTCCTCCATGGTCACCCAGCATGCACTCCGACGTCCAGAGCAAGTCAGCAGGGCCAATACAGGCATCTGTTCCTACCAAGGACCAAGCCGTTTATAACCCACATCCTTGGCCTGCTGGAGGCCAGATGATACATCCTCAGTGGTAGGGAGGCAGCACCACTTGATTCTGACCCTAAAGAATTCATAGGATGGGATAAATCACCGGCTCTCACAACACTGGTGTGGAGATCAGGAAATGTCTCAAATTCTCATGCCAGAAGTGTCTATTGATCTGCGCTGAAGCATCCCAGACAATTCCGTTTCTCCTGGAAACAAGATCCTGGCCCCAGGAATGCGAGATCTCTCTCTCTCTCTTTATAATTCTCCATCTGTGTTCAGAGAAACCTTGAAGCAGAGCATGCCCTGGAACTGGCAACGGCATTTCTGTTAAAGAAGGTTGATTTTTTTAAAAGTGAAAGAATCTTTTTTATTAAATTCTTTTTCTGTTGTTGTTGTTGTTTTGGGTTTCTGGAGACAGGGTCACGTTATGTAGTCCAGGCCGGCCTTGAACTCACTGTGTAGTCCAGGCTTGCCTCAAACTCATGACGATCTTCCTGCCTCAGCCTCCTGAGCACAGAGATTATAGGCATGCACCACCATGCCTGGTCTCATTAAATGGTTCTTGTTTCAAAGTGGGAACATTTTCTGGGTGCCTGGGGAGCTGCTGTTTTCTGTTTCTTCTTGTAAAAATCTGATGTTAAAAAAATTTTAAACCCCATAAAATGAAGAAACTATCATTTTCAGAGCTTAGCATCAAATCATATTTACAGAGGAGGGGTTTCTGTCCTGGACATTTAACGGGCACTTATCAAGTTCCTATTGCGAACTTGGTGGCTTTCCTGGTACTAGATGGTTGGCAAGGGTGAGAGCATTCTAATAGGATGAGATGATCTAGATTATTATTTTTGTTAGTATTTTACCACTGGTTATTCAAATGATTAAGATCTATAGAGGCTCTATTGAGGATGCAGTGGTGAACCAGGTAGCTTGAATCCCTGACTTCTGGAAGCTCCTAGTCTTTCTGGAGTGATACGGATCAGTAAGGGTGTGAGGCCTGTGGAAGTCGGCGTTCATTCATGGAAGTGCTTCTCCATCAGTCATCTCAGGAAGTAGGGCAGGTCATGTGTGTTCTGAGGCAGGGAAGTTGCTCAGAGCTTCTAGGAGCTACAGGGGTAATACTGAAACCCCAAGTGTCTGATTTCACTTCTTTCCACATTCTGGCTATTATGGGTAATGTAGCTGTGAGCATTTGTGCACAAATTTTTGTGTGGATGGTGTTTTCATTTACCCAGGATACATGTTTAGAAGTGGAATTGCTGAGTCCTATGATAACTCTGTTACATATTAATGAACCCCCAAAGCTGTCCCATTTTATATTCCCACCACCAATGGATGAGAATTTCATTGTCTCTATGTCCTCGCCAACACTTGTTGTCTGTTTTTTGGGTTGTAGTCATCCTAGTGAGTGTGAAATGTTTTACGTTGTCCCCAACTTATGAACATTTGACTTGCAGACTTTTACAGGTGTACTGTACAAGATTCACAAGGGCACTGTATAAAACTTGTGCTGTTGGGTTACAAACAAATCCAACTCAGACACATACTCCTGGAACAAGACTTACTCCTAAGTAAGGGATTTACTGTATACAAAGTACAAAGCTCATCTAAAATCTGATGCACTCTAAGGTACTAGACTGTCTGTGGGCAGTCTGGTATGTCAGTCCCCAATTTGCAGACATTCGAATTGTGAGCTTTCACAGATACAAACGGACCCTGCATTATGAACATTTGTACATGCAGACAAATCACAGAAGCAGCTCACGTGTCTGCTGGACATTGTCACAGTTGTGCTGCTACCTGCTTACCATGCTCAAAAGTTACAATAATTTATTTACCGTGTGTGTGTGTGTGTGTGTGTGTGTGTGTGTGTGTGTGTGTGAAAGATGTGTGAGACTCACTTTGTCAGACTTACAAATTAATCTGACTTAGGAATGTTTTCCTGGAGCAGAACTCATTCATAAGTCCGGGATTTACTGTATCTGACAGTTTTTTCCCAAGGGCTCTGGTCCACCCTGGACTGAGAAACAGCTGCCCCTCTTGCTGCTCAGTCCAGACTGGTGGGCTCTCATTTCTTACTGGACTCCCAGAACCTAAGTGAGGTTTGTCCCGGGTCCTTGACGTCTAATGCTCCTCCGTCTCTTCTTGTCTTCCAGCGATTCACGAGTTCCCCGCGGACCTGTTCTCCAATAAGGAACGACAGCACGGGGCTGTCCTGCTGCATATCCTTGGTGTAAGTAGTCCTCTTGGGTGTGGCATCAGTAAACTTGGTGTCGTGAAGCCTGTCTGCATGGTGTGGCAGAAGCCACAGCACACCCAACATTTGTTTAGTCTTTGTAACAGCTCTGGGAGGAGACAGATGCTGACTGGGCCACCTTCTCCGTGATGTTTTAGGTGACTTTCCCAGTATCGGGTGGTTAGTGGCCCCAGAGCCCACACAGAATGGGGCTTTTTCTTGTGCCTTTTGGGGCTTTTTCTTTTATAAAATAGGATGTCACCACCCACTCCCAGAGCATAAACATGAGTGGATATGCATCCAAGTGCATCAGATAGATGACGCATAAGTCCTCCATAACTATCATGATCCCCACAACTACCCTCAAACTGTACCACTGCACTGTAACTGCAGATGGAATCCTTGATGCACTTCTAGAACTTTCTTCCATAGTCAGATAGACCCTGATGACATGTGGTAGAGTTCACGTAGAAGTTCAGAAAAGAATAATAGTTGAACCTAAATTACAGGTCTCCTGACTGTGACAGGGTAGAGAAATAAGCTCCACCCAGATCTCCCGCCTTACCTGTTTTTATAAATGAAGTTTTATTGGAACACAGCCCTTCCCTGTCAGGGCTGTGGGAGTCATGGTGGCTTTTGAGCTTCAGGGGCAGGAAAGAACAGTTTTATCGGGGACTACATGACTCATAAAGCCAAAGACATTTACTTTCTAGTCTTTTATGGGAACCATTGTTGGACTGTACTGAATGGTGTGGGAAAACACCTAGTCTAGCTGATTTTTCTGCTTTGGATCAACCACGCCACACTTCCCAACCACCCCTCAATGTCTGTTGTATATTTAAACCCAACCAAGTATTAATGTTCTTAAAGAGATAATTTAAAAAGTGGAATCTGGAATTCTCACACAAACAGCAACAATCAGAATAATGAATGAGTGAATTTTTAATTAATAGAACAAACTACTTATGAAAATGAAGGTTTAGAGTGAGATTCACAGGCATATTTTAAACTACAGGCCTGTATATTTTTTTCTGTAATGAAGCTATTATCTTTCTAGAGTCTATCTTTATACTCTTTCCCTTCTCACTAAGGGAGAATGAGTTTGACTAATTGGTCCCATAGTCCTTTGGCCCTGGCTCCTGAAAGTCTCAGCATGACTGTGACAAAACTTTTCTTGTGGACTATCTCAGAGATTTTACAGGAACTCTTTAGAGCAGGAGTTACCAAACATGCCTCAAGGACCAAATCCAGACCACTTCTTGACTTTAGAAATAAAGTTTTATTAAAACACAGTCACACCCATACTAGGAGTCCTCAGATCCACACGAGCAGTTTCAACAAAGACCTTTTGGCCCACAAATCCCAAAGTCTTCCACACTCGCCCTTCATAGAGAGAGTTTGCAGACTTCTTTAGTTAGTAGGAAGACTTCAGCATAGCAGCCATTTTGTCTGCAGCCCTACAAAGTTTTTCATACTTTGCCCGGAAGCGGGAAGCAGTGTTATTGTGGGTATAAATTCACATCAGCCTCCCAAGACCTGGGGCAAGGTCTCCAGGCTGGCCCTCCAGGGACTGGAGCCATTGGTTTCAGCAGGGCATGGGCAGATGGTAACAAGGAAACAGTGCTCTCACTACAAGTGAAGTGGGTAATGAGTGTTTTAGACTTGTTAAGTGGTAATTCGAGATGCTTTCCCTCTTCAGCCTTTTGAAGGCAGACTGTGGTGCTAGAAAGGACGGGAAGGATAAAGTGTGCCTCCCACTGTCACACTGTGGTCACCAGCATGTGGAGGGCAATTTCCCACACACGAGGAAGCTCTTAGGTGGACACCAAGCGGGTGCCCCATCATTCAGTTCAATTCAGATGCCATCTGCTTGGAAGCAGTGCCAGGCCCAGCAGGCTGAGGGCTCAGCCCGACCACTGCCTTCGCTGGAGACGCCAGTTGCAATGACAGGCAGCCACACTGTTAACTGGCTACAAATCAGGATCCTGCATCCCCCTTGTCAGGCTGAATAATGTCCTAGAGCGACTCACAGAACTGCAGGGAACACATGCTTACATTTCTCTTGTGTCATGAAGGGTGTCACACAGGGGGCAGGGACATGGCCAGGCGGGAGAGACGCACAGGGCGAGGTGGGGCAAGGGTGACCTCCATGTGGTCAGCAGTGCAGAGCTCTTCCAAACCTGTCTTTTCGGTTTTTCTGGAGCCTTCATTACCTGAGCAGGACTGAGTACATCCTTGGCCACTGCTGACCAGATCAGCCTTCAGCCCCCTCCACTCCCCTGAGAGTAGGAATGAAAGTCCCAAGCCTCTAATGCTGCCTTGGCCTTTTGGTGACCAGGGCCATCCCAAAGCTACCTAGGGAACCCAGACACCGGCCATCTCGTCAGTGTATATACTGTCTTACCACCCCCAGAGATCCAAGGCTGAAGGAGCTGTGTGCCAGGGACCTGGAACAGAGACCAAATTTACATTTCTTACTAGGTCTCAGTACCACGGAGAAGAAAAGTCACAGTTATAACACGTGGCCTTTGGTGTAGTCCCCACTGTTTCTCTTTTCTGGGCCTCAGCGTCCCCATCTGTCAGTTCAGAGTTAGCAGGCAGATCCTGTCCCCTGGCAGCTTGCAGGCAGCGGGCTTGGGTGATGCGTCCCCTCAGTGGCAGGGCCCACACCAACCCCATCTTTCTCATTTCCTTCTCAGACTCTGTACATGTTCTACGCCCTGGCCATCGTGTGTGATGACTTCTTTGTTCCGTCGCTAGAGAAGATCTGTGAGGTATGTGGAAGGGACTTGGGGACCCTTGGAAAAGCCCTGGAATGATAAAGGACAGGTGGCATGTAAATGGTAGAGCAAGAGGGCCAGGACTGGCTCAGGGAGCGATCTGGACATGGCCCATGGTGGCGGTGGTGCTGAAACCACCCAATCAGCAGGGAGGGATGGTGCCCTCCCCCAGAGCCTGGCAATGGAAGCCCCTGCCAGTATGAAGTCATCATCCACAATGTTGGCATCAGCGCACCATGTGTGCCGGCCCTGGCATTTCAGTGCTGGGGACAGGAGCTCTGGCTGTCTGAGCAGCCGGGCGCCACACTTGACATGGCAAAGAATTCCAGATGCAAGAGCCAAGTGTGTGCCAGGACCCCACGTCCCACAACCTCAGCCTTTTCATATGGGGCCCTGGGGACAGGCATCAGGGTGGCCTGATGGACTCTTGTTGAGCTAGGGATCCAGAGATGGCAAAGCCCCTGCTCTCATGCTCCAGCAGGGAACAAGTGTGGGCACCACTGCCCTCATCTTCTAATCTGTGTTTAGATAATGGGGGATAAAACAGGCCAGGGTTCAAGGGGGAGCAGCTGGTTCTGGGGGGAAGCAGGAAAGGCTTCATCAGGGGGCCATTACTGAGTCAGGAGCTGGGAGAGTGAATAGGAAGTAGATGGCTTGGGGAGGGATAGGGGCTTCTGGGCTAAGGCCTGGGGGCATGGAGGGCTTGTGCTTAGGATCAGGGAGGAGTGGCTGCCCCTCTGCCCCAGACATGGGCCCAGTTCTGCATCCCCAGCTGCTCATCCACCCAGGTGTCCTGTCCACTGCCCTGTGTCACACTCCCAGGCCTGCGGTCCCCTATGTTTCAGAGACTTCATCTGAGCGAAGATGTGGCCGGAGCCACCTTCATGGCTGCGGGAAGCTCGACTCCAGAGCTGTTTGCCTCTGTCATTGGTAAGGCACAGGCTCCAGGGAAAGCCCATGCTTGGTGCCTGGACCAGCAGGGACATTTGTTAGCTCCATGCCCTGAGTTTCTTGTCTGTAAATCCAGAGATCCAAAGGGGCAGAAAGTGAATTGGTGGTTTCTCAGGGTGAAGATGATGCTAAAGAGCGTGAGGTTTCCTTTGGGGATGAAAAGGATGTTCTACAGTTAGACCCTGATTTTAATTGTGCAATTCTGTGAACAGATTAAGGCCCTGGACTGTATTCCTAAAGCAGGTGAATGTTATCACATGGGAATTCAATCTCCATAGATCTGTTCCAAAAATGGGAGCATTGGAGGAGCAGGTTCCTAAGGTTCCCCCACCTGGCTGGTTTTCCTCTTTGCACTCACAGTGCTGTGGTTGACTCTAAGAAGGACCTGTTGTCCTCATTGTGGGGACACTGAAGCATGGATAGGCCAGCCCATGCAGCCAAGGGTCTAGAATTCATGTCTCTCTCTCTCTCTCTCTCTCTCTCTCTCTCTCTCTCTCTCTGTACTGGGGGTTGAACCCAGGGCCACTGCACTGAGCTACACCCCTTGCCCCATTTTTTCTATTTTGAGATATGGCTCACTAAGTTCTTAAATTGCTACCCTGGGCTAAAAGTTGTAATCCTTCTGTCTCACCCTCCCAGAGTACTAGGGTTCCAGGTGTGCACCACCATGCCAGCTTCCTGTCTTTTCCCTCTTAGGTGTCTTCATCACCCACGGGGACGTCGGGGTGGGGACCATTGTGGGCTCCGCTGTGTTCAACATCCTGTGCATCATCGGAGTGTGTGGGCTGTTTGCTGGCCAGGTTGGTGGATGACTTCGTGGCCTGGAGGGCCAGGGCTTGTACTGTGGGAGACGAGCTTCTCTGGTGAGGTGGCCATGGGGACATCCAGCCTAGGCCAGGCCAGTCACTCCATTGCACTGACTTCCTCTTCTGAGCTGGTTTGCTCCTGGGGGAAGTGGCATTAATGTCCCTTCCCCTCCAAAGTCTGGAGGTCTGAGGGGCACAAGCAGTGTCCGTGACCTTGGCCAGCCCCAGGGCAAGTTTCATTTGGTAGTGACTTCCCACCAGTGCCACTTGCAACCTCATCGCAGAGGAAACCACCTGGTCGTTGGTGGTGCCTTGTTCCATAGCCTCAGGTCCAGAGAAGGACTTGACCTCAGGCAGGCAGGTTCCTTGTCAGGCCCTGCCTCGCCTGGTGGCCGGCTGATTGCTCCTAAAGAGGCCAGCGGCACCTCTGATCTCCTCCTCAGCTGGCTTCTGCCACAGACATTCCAGAACATCATCTCAGAGGACTAGGGCAGTTTCTACTACTGCTTAAGCACAGTGTTTGGTTCCATCCTCTTCCACAAATATCATGAAGATCCTGGGGTGGCCTGGGAGGACCCCCACACCCAAAGGGCACTAGGTAGTTACTGCACACTTCCAGCCCCAGCCAACAGCAGCTGCCACCTCTGCCCGGCAGGTAGTCCGTCTGACGTGGTGGGCTGTGTGCCGCGACTCCGTGTACTACACGCTCTCTGTCATCGTGCTCATCGCGGTGAGTTACCCCTGCCATCTCTGCCCCTGACGCTGTGGCCAGCACACATTGTCGTGTAGTGGCCAGTCCCACATGCCTTTCTGCCTCTGCTTTGCCTCCCTGTCCCAAAAACTCATAGCTGACGATTTGGTTATGAAGCAAATCCAGGAAGCAGCTTCGTGGCACAAAGACCTTGCAAAGCCCACACCAGTGGTCTGTGTGGTGACCCCGAGGACTGTGCTCCTCTGAGTACCTTCCAACCCCCTTGTAGGCCACTTGCAATTCTGCCAGACCCTGGTCTCAGAACTCTCAGGGTTCGCTGTCACTGAAGAGCGGAGTAGGAAGTCAGTGAGAGTCACAGAGAGGGCAGCTGGAAGCCAGGCAGGGGCCAGAAAGGGAGGTCCCCTGGGGTCCTTTCCTGTGTGGGGGTGACCTCACGGCACATGACAGTGAGGCACACTGCCAAGGAGCATGTCATCCACAGGGAATCACTTCTGACCCCAGAGAGCTGGCACGAGGGTGTGTGCAGATGTTAGGATTAGGAGTAGAATAGTTCTCAGCCTCCCCAGACAGAGAGCCAGTGTGTATGACAATGTGCCCATGTATTTGTTAGCTAGTGCTGTGTAATAAATTTCCCCCAAATGTGGCAGTTTAAGACCAACAACACTAATGAGCTCCTGTGGGGCAAAACTTGGGAGTGCCCCAGCTGGATCCTCCAGGCCAGGGTCTGTCAAGATGCAGTCAAGGCATCAACCCAGACAGAAGGATCTCAGTGCCCAACATGGCTATTGGCTGGCCTCAGGCTGTGCCTGTGGTCTCACAGCACAGCTCACGGATGGCTGCCCTTGGACCGAGAGTGAAAAGGCCCCAAGGTGGAAGCCAGTCTTTTCATACCCTCATCTCACAGGTGACCCTTCCATTGCCTTGAGTGCATTCTCTTTGTTAAAGGCAGTCATCGGGTCCGGCCCGCATTTCAGGAGGCATGAATGTCAGGCAGTGGGTTCAGTGAGCTGTCTTAGACATGCCTACCACATCCCCAAAATAAAAATGATAGGTAAAATAATTACCTAAAGACAATGTCAGAAAAATCAATACAGTACCCTAACTGTGCGTAAGGGAGAAATACGTTTAATATATAGTAAAATAATTTATCTTTCAGTACATAAATGTTTCAGCATGAAGATAATAGGAGATCCAATGAAGCAGTTGCCGCCCCCATACAATCTGGGAGCCCTTCAACTACAGATGCAGACTCATATCCACTGGGTTAGGCTTAAGCCCCAGGTGCTGCTGACATCATGACATGTTTCCAAAATAGTAAATGACTCCTTCTACAATTCTGAACAGACCAAAATGCATTCATCCTTTGCACGCCAGTAACTTTATTAGCAAATTCAACACTTTCTAAAGTTCCATAAAAATACTTTGATTTGTAAATTGGAGAAAAGTTTAAGGTTCAGGTCATTGTTTTTTCAGTTGCCTAAATATTTATCAGGACATTTAAGACTTGGACCAAATGCTGAGAAACTTCATGCGCAAGAACTCACCTCACACTGCATTGTATCTCTGTCCTTCACTGCCTCTAAATGCCAGTGGCCCAAAAACAGCTAGAAGTATCTCTATAAATGCCCCCAACTTCCCTGGGGATAGTCCAGTCCTCTGTTCTGTTGAATGTTCCTTCCTCAGAGCCTGGCGTTCAAAAGGCTCACATTCAGAAGTCACCTGACTTGTTGACTTTCTCTGAAATGACTCCCTGAACCAGCTCCTGTGTAGGCTGCCCACTGTGACAATCAGGAGAGGAATAAGTCCAGACAATGTTCCCTTGCCTTTCCTGCACCATATGTTGGGATCCTTGTGTCTCCAAGATCAGATTGATGGGAACAGGCTCCGCCCATCCTTCCTGTCCATTCCAAGTGATGCTGGGGTGGTCACAGGAGTCCTCCCCCAACTGAAGAAAGAGTATTCATCTGTGCCTTGTACCAGAGATACTAGGTAAAAGTTGTTGAGGGTATTAATTAGGGTTCTCCAGAGAAACAGCCAATAAGAGACAAATGGATGGATGGGTGGATGAACGGACGATGAGGACAGATTTGTTTGGTAGTTGGCTCTGGTGATTTTAGGATGAGAAGATCCATGATGCCCTCCACATGCTAGAGACCTAGGGAAATCTGTAGCGTAGCCTAGGCCAAAGGCCTGAGGACACAGGAGTCTACGGGTACAAGTCCTGGAGTCCGAAGGCCAGGGACCCTGGAATTGTGAAGTCCAAAGGCAAGAGCAAGAGAAAGAGAGAGGAGACAGAGGGCAAAAGCGCAAGTAGAGATTCACTTTTCTTCTGCGTTTTTGTTCTCTCACCCTCTAAGCCCATTAGCTGGTTGAGTGAGGGCAGATCTTCCTTACTCAGGACAATCCAAAAGCCAGTGTCTTCCAGAAACATCTTCACAGACAAACCCAGAAATAATACTGTACTGACCATGTAGGTATTCCCTAAGTCAGACAAGTATGACACCCACATTTAACTTTCACAATGAGCAATGCCAGTGTCCCCACTATCGCTCCCTTCACTTATACAAGCTGGATCCTCCCCTTGGGAATTCCGAAAGGAGTCACCTTTCATTTTTAAGAAAACTGCCCCCACTACACACACATATCCCATACACATAGGAATAGGTCCCTAGGTACCTTCCCAGTGTTTGAGACTCCTTGCGTTTAGCAACTCTGTCTCCATAATGAGGGGAGGCCCCTTCCAGATGAGTCCCCAGAAGAGAAGCAGCTCGGACTGCAGTAGAGCCCAGGCTCCTTCTCTTGGGAAGACCGAACTGAGCCAAAGCCACAGCTGCAGCACAGCGGGCCTGGGTTCCAGCTGAGGGCAGTCACTGAGAACTGGAAAGAGGACCCTGCTTCCTGCAGCACACAGCACAGGGCCACTGTGAGTTGGCTCTGGGTGCTTAGGGGTTCACATTGCCCTTCATTTGGAATAAATGTGTCTGCCTTTGTTTCTTTTGTCTTCTAGTTCATCTATGATGAAGAAATTATGTGGTAAGTTTTTACAGTTTATTTTACATTGCTTTTTTGTTAAATTTGCTGAATCTTTTTTTAAAATTATTTTTATAAACTTATGCTTATAACTTGAGAAAAGGGTATCTCCTGAGAAATCTGGGCTTCATCCTTTCAAAGTGAAAAAAATTGTTTCCCTCTGTGTCCCCACCCTGCCAAATGCCAAGATCCATTATAAAGCTAAAACAATGGCAGCACTGTGGAGATTTTGCACAGGGGTTAGCACAGGCTGATGGAGACTCTGGTAATGAATGTACCTATTTGGGGGGTGGGGCTGAGGCAAAGGTCAAAGGTCTGTGTCTGGGGCTGGGACTGTGTGTAGCTGAGACCACTGCTGGTACAGACCAAGCAACACACATCGAATCTCCCCTCCTGCCTTATCTGAGAATCCATTTCAGGTGCAATAAAGGTCTGTCAAAATCAAAATTTTAATTTTTGTGTGTGTGCTCCAGAGTCTCTGCCCTAAGCTGCATTCCCAGCCCTTTTATTTTGAGATAGTCTCACCACATTGCCCACACTAGGTTCAACTTTATGTCCCTTCTGCCTCTGCCTCCCAGAGTGCTGGGATTACAGGCATGTGCCACCACTCCGGTTTAAAAGAAAAAAAAGAAAGAAATTTTAGAAGAAAATATAGGGACTCTTCGGCCTTTCTTTTAAGATTATGGTCGGTTAACAGTGGTTATTCTGTAAATATTTTATTGTACAATTTTGTTTTATTTTTTCATAGAAGTAAGGATGCTTTTTAAATTTTTCCTTGTTTACATATACTACATTAAAATAAAAAAGTTTTAAAAGAAAATATAAGAACTCATTTTTATGACGTCCAAGTAAGAATTCCTTAAGACGCATAAAGGACACACTTCTGAGGAACATGTTAATAGTCACTCCATTCCAAAGCACATGAATACACCTCATGCTCATATGCTATACAATTTGCCTGCTCGTTACTGTGATGGACAGTCTGCACCTGTAGGTGATTACCTGTCGGAATACTCAGGTGATTGGACCACAGCATCACCTGTGTGCTGTGCACCTCTTTCTGGTCTCATCCTGGCCCCTACCCTACTGTGTCACCCCATAAAGCCTCTCTACCCTTAGTGTCACTTTCCTGAAATGCAGCTGGAGTTGGGGTGGTGGTTAAATGGTTTTCAGGGTCCATGGTAGGAAAGGAAGCACCTCCCAGTGACTGTCACCCACACCGGGCACATAGGGGCTTCTGTACGTGTCTGTCAGATGAACAAACAGGCCCAGCGGCTGTGGTCAGAGGCACAGACACCCTCACTCATGGAGCGAGCTGCATTTGCAAGAGAACAGCAACAGTGCTTTCTAGAAAAGCCCTCCTCACCACCAACTGTGAGGCACCTGTGCCCACAGGACCTTTCCCTGGGGACCTGGGCCCCTTCTGCTGCACCCACAGCTTGTCTGGACCTGACCAGAATCTCGAGTGCCAGGAGGTTTCCTTAGAGTTGAATCTCTAAAGCCCAGGATGTGACAGCCCTGATCCTTCCTTTTCCTGGGTCTCTGGGAGGTAGGGGCTCTGCCTGAGGCCTGTGAACGCCAGTGGTTGAGAAGGTGGCCCTTCAGTCTTCTCTCTCTCAGTCGCTGTGGAGACTCTCAGTGGCAAGGCAGCCTCAAGCTGGGGCACCATGCTCGTTCGCCTGGTCCTGGGCAGGCAGTGGAGCTGGGGGAGGGAGACATCCAGCTCTCATCCACTCCACACCATTTAATCCCAAACCCATGCCCCTTGTCTCTTCCAGGTGGGAAGGCCTGGTGCTCATCATCTTGTACGTGTTTTACATTCTGATCATGAAGTAAGTGCCTTTCCCCTTCATCCCCATCCTGCCCCATCTTTGCTTAGAGCAGGGAAAACCCTGTCTGATTCTGAGTCCCTCTGGAGCAGCCCCTACTGCCTGGTGGAACTCTGCTGGGGCAGCCAACGTCTGGGACAAATGATGAGACACTGCTTTGGAGGTGCTGTCTACAGCCAGGCGGGGGCATCGTGCCGAGTGGCTGGTGTGTGGAGGGTGACACTACTCCCCAGATGGGTCACCAGCGAGGACCTCAGTCCTACCCTGCGCTGGGCACCTTCCCTGTCCGACAGAGTGACCACTCTGATAATTCACTACCGCTCCTCCAAAGGCCAGGCAGCTTGACTTCTCAGGGCTGTTACATTGTCCAGCTGCAGGGGTCCCACTCATAGTCCTGGGGACATGGACCCAAACCGTCTCAAAACTCCCACAAGGAACCCTAGTCGGCCCCAAAGAGGAATGCAACTCTGACCCACTCTTTGAAGTGCAGATGGATGGACGGAAGAACCTTGAAGACACCATGCTGAGTGGAAGGAGCCAGTCACAAGGGCAAATTGTACATGTGGTTTCCAGAAGAGTCAAGTTTATAGAGACAGATGAAGATTAGAGGTCATGGAGGAGGCTCAGGGGATGAGGGGTTTTGATACAGAGTTGCTATTTGGGGTGATACACATGTCTTAGAAATATTAATGATGGTTGTACAACAGTGTGAATGTAATTAATGCCACTAAAGTGTGCACTTAACAATAGAGACTAGTCATAGTGGCAATTTTTGTTATATATTATTTTCCACCACAAAACTATCCATGGACTACGCCACATTCCGCTATCCCTTCTCCCTCATAGATAGGTGATTAATGAAGAATGACAGCACTGTGTGTGTTAGGAGAATCCCCATATTTAGATGTTTTCACAGAATACTGTGCTTTATTAAAATGGGTGACACCGGGCCGGGGATTTAGCTCAGTGGTTCAGTGGCCTGCCTTGCAAGCATAAGGACCCGAGTTCAATCCTTGGTACCAAAAATAAATAAATAAATAAAACGGGTGACACGCATCACAGTGCAGGAAAATGGTCCTCAAGCTTTCCCCTCTCTGAGGGTCCATCGGTGGGGAGCCTCTCAGGATGGTGGTGCTGGCTGTGAGTGATGCAGCCCATGGGAACAGGAGTTACTGCGGGAGGCAGGGGGCAGGGACAGGCCGCTGATGCCCCCTTTGAGCCTGTAAGCTAAGCTGAACCCCATTATTAGAACAGGCTTGTGACGTTAGAACTCAGTCATTTTCTTGAGCAAAAGGTCTCTGCTGTCCCCAGGAAGCCTCCTAATAGCTCAGTAGAAGCAGGTGACCCCAGACTGCACATCATTCCAGGGTTCCTGTCAGGAGACCTCATGGGCTCTGCTAAGAGCCCCCGGTTGGCTAGAACCATGCCAACTGCACAGGCCAGGGTGGGGCACAAGATCCACTGGACAGATGCCACCCACCTGGTCAGCAGGGACCCCTCCACTGCCCTGACCCCCTGCCTCACCTGACTTGCAGGTATAATGTGAAGATGCAAGCCTTTTTCACCACCAAAAAAAAGAGCATTGCAAATGGCAACCCAGCCAGCAACGAGCTGGAAGATGGTAATGACTTCTATGACGGTAGCTATGATGATCCTTCTGTGCCATTGCTGGGGCCAGGTAAGGCTGAGCAGACAGGAGTGGGACACTTGTCATGGAAGCCACCTCCTTCCCTTTCACATACACACTCCTACACTGGCACTCTCTTACCTTTGGTTACACTCACCCCAAATGAGGAGGGAGAATCCCACTTTAAGATTGGTTTTGGTTTAGCTATTGGAAAGATGGAGGGAGGCTACAGTAGGAAAGAAAGTGAAGAGTTGCATCTATGGGAATTTGCCCAGGGCTAAGAGGCCTTGCCTTTTCTAGTGATGTTGCCGTGGAAACTACTGGCTGGAGATGACATCAGAGTTCTGTCCTCATCCTCAGTCTCCAGGCAGGTGGCTCTGCAGCCACCACATCAGAAGGAGAGCAAGAACTGCCAGCTGGTGGATTCTTTCACGAAACCACTCAGGCTGGGGATGTAGCTCAGAATAGAGCATCTGTCTAACATTCATGAGGCCCTCAGTTCAATCCCCAGCACCAAAAAATAATTAATAAACAAAAAAAACCTACTCTTGGATTGGGGATTTAGCTCAGTGGTGCTGCCACCTGCCTCGCAAGTGCAAGGACCCAAGTTCAATCCCTGGTACAAAAAAAGAGCCTCACTCAATCTTATCACTTGGAGTGTTTTCCATATAAAATTTAAAAATGCAAAACCCAGCCTCTTGGCAGGAGAAGGGGGAACAAAGCCCTGTCACCACCTCACTTATAAAATGCTTTTTTATACTTGTGTTCTTAGTGAATATGCAGCTCAGCTTGCCAGATCAAGGTGCTGGCTGGTTCCCAGGGGACCTTGCTCACAGCCTGGGTCCCCTGACCATCAGCTGCCACGTGTTCCAAGCTGGTCTACCTCAGAGAGCTCACTAGAGGACACACAGTCTGCCCAGACCTGACTTGGGCTTGGGACAGTAAGGTGGAGACGACTCAGCCTTGGGTGGAGTGGCTAGGAAATCAGGCTGTCGTCGTGTGGCCCTCTGGGCAGCTGCCCTTGGCTTGGACACACAACTTCATGGTGTCACTTGATGGATGGCACCAGGACAGGGCATCCCAGGACAGGTGCTATGGTTCCTGCCTCACAATGCTCCACGGGCTCCTTCCTTCTGAGCCCATCCATCCCTAAGCCGCCCCTGTGACAGGGCTGGTTCTACCCAGTGGATCCATAGGGCCTGCCGTATGGCTGGTGTCCTCACCCTCTGAGAGGGAGGCCCAAGCACTGAGGCTCCCTGGGGAAGGAGCCCACTACTAACACCCTCCTTCCATAACCCCCTGGCGTCTTTGCCACCATCAAGAATGCTGCCCAGGCTCCACCGCACGCTAATCATCTCTGGCAATCTCTGTCGGCCTCTGTCTCCCTAACTCTCCTCCTCTTCTAAATTGTAAGTAATCTGCTCTCATCCAAGCAATAACACTTGCATTTAAACAATAAATAAACCCACCACGAGCCTAGCCCAACAGCGCACGCCTCGTTGGAGGTTAGTGTCCACCTCCACAAATGCATGGGCCTCCTGGCTGTGTCTTCTAACCCACACGCCTCCTGTCTGCTGAGCCTTGCTGCCTGTGTGGTGGGTGTGTGTGTGGTGTGTGCAGTTAGTGCATTAACTCTTGCATGGGTTTGCTCTCTGGACCTTCCCTTGCTACTCTACCACATGGGATCCAGTAACCAGTGCACAGGGACAGCTGTGCCATTCTTCACAGCCCCAAAGAGGGGACATCACTGCCTGCTTCCGTGTGCTGTATTCATGAATGGTCCAGGGGATCTGGAGGCCAACGTCAAATCCCTCAGGACACCAACACTCAGCATGTTTGGGAAGGTGGCAAAGAAGAGGTCCAGGGCTGGGAGTTTTGTTCAGGCTCGTGAGGGGAAGCAAAGGGTCAGAGAGAACAAAGCCCACCCCAGAGTGCCAGGGTTTGTCAGAACAGCCACCACGTACCCTGGGATAAGCAGGCTCCTCCCCTGGGTCTCTTGCCCAGTGTAAGGCCTAGGATCCAAATCGTTGATTTCACTGCTGGCACTGTGGAAAATAAAGTTAGAAGCCCCACTGGGAGGGTGACTCCAAGACCAAGCAAAAGGCTTGCATGCAGTCTAGAGCCATGCTTTCTAACATTTTCCACTGCTGGGGATCCTTGTTGATTTGTAAAGTTTCATCTGAGCCCCTAGGAAAAAGGGTCCCACTGCAGGGGTGAAATGCCCTATCTCAGTGGCCGGTACTGTGCTCTGTGAGGCTCAGGTGAGGAGTAGAAAGGCCCTGGCCATCAGCAAGGCTGGCCCAGAAGAGAGGGAGGGGGCACCAATTGATGGGAAGGTCGAACGTCACATGTCCGTCTGTGACTGGTCCTGTAGCAGGGAACACACTGGGCTCTGTCTGACATGTGGTGCTGCTGTGGGGGTTGCAGAATCAGTGATCCACTTTGGAAACAGAAGGAGCTGAAGCCAGGCCTCCAGACCTTCAGGCAGCCACCAGCTGTGGGTCCCCGGCCCTAGACATTCACAAGGGAAGGGAACGCCAGTGGTCCCAGCCCTGGGGTGCTATCCTCAGAGAGCTCAGCACTAATCATGGCATTGTGCTCCATAGTGAAGGAGAAGCCACAATATGGCAAAAACCCCGTGGTGATGGTGGATGAGATCATGAGCTCCAGCCCTCCAAAGTTCAGCTTCCCTGAGGCCGGCTTACGTATCATGATCACCAATAAGTTTGGGCCCAGGACCCGACTACGGATGGCCAGCAGGATCATAATTAATGAGGTGAGTCCGCAATACGGGAAGAGCAAGTGGCTGGGGATGGTCCTGGCTTGTTCAGACTCTTCCCCCATTATTTCCCCTGCACCTGCTTCACTCATGTTAACCCCAGAATGTTAAGGAGAAGTGGGCAACGCTGAAATCATTACCTGGCAGAAATGCCTGAGAAGCCCGGCTTCTTTGATCACACAGGGCAGAGGGGGTAGAAGGAGGTGACACCTGGTGTCATTTTACTGTCCTCAACCAGAGCCACCAAGCTGAGTTACCAAGGGGTCCTGACCTTCCCCCACCCAGTCCAGCCTGAGTCTGGACTGCAAGGGGAGACAGCGAGGATTGTCAGTGGGCAGTCTAGTCCCCTCCCCTGCCCAGTCTCTCTCTGTCTTTATCCCTCCTTACATCCAGGCCTGCGGCTTGAGTTGTTTCTTTCTGCCCCTTCCACAAGGCAGCAGATAGCAGCTGCTGCCCTGATCTCTCCTTGCGTGTGACCTTTCTGAGAGCGGTCCACCAGCCTCCCCTACATGACAGGCTTCCAGTCCTTCCCATCTAGTTCCTCAGCATGCGGCTCTGTCACCACCCTTGCATCCTAACTCAAGCCTTTTTTAATATAACCTTAGCTATCTTTAGATGTTTTTCCAGGTACAGTCCTCTGTTGACTCCTAAGCTAGAGCCAAGACTGACCCCCATCACCACCATTTCACACTGCTCTCCTACCATAAGTCTGTCTTTGTCCAGCTAATTGGACTCCAAGATGACCTTGCATTTAACCCTGCTTAAATAGCAAAATACTACGGCTTCATGCCCGGCTCTAGGTCTCAGGCATAGGTCCCTTCCTTCTGGGGTGGACCAAGTGTTGTGGACTCTGTAGAAAACAGTTTAAAGATTTCCATGCTATCTTACACTTCATGACGTAGTGGTCCCTGCCAAAAGCCAATATGAAGATAGTTAAATGGTCACTGCCTCTTCCTTTTAGAGCAATAACAGGATTCCACTTGCAATGATAATGGTCTTTCCTCCCATAACCACAGGGACAGGTGTGGGTGCACAGGGAGAGGCTGTCACTGCCTTGGGGCTCGTCTGCTATTCCTTGGTTTCCTGTGGATGTGATGACAAGGGATTTATGTGTCCATCATGTGATGATCATTGTCATGGGCCTCAAATTGATCTGTAAATAAACCAGATCAAGCAGAGGCCAGTAGGTTTTCATGAACAGAGGGGCCTATTGATTTATTGGCATGTTAGAAAGCCACAGACCGGGCAAGGAAGAGCAGCCGGGGTTGGATGGGCCAGAAGTCGCCTTTGACAGTGGTCACCATGAGATGGAAGGAAGGAAGGGGCTGGGTTTGGCCGGGGTCATTCACCTTGGAAACCAGTGCCAGGCCAAAGACATCCACAACCATCAGAAGGGAAGGACATTTAGATCTGATCCACATGGCCGGCAATCCAGGAGGATACCCAATGGCATTAGCCTTCCAGGGAAAGGCAAATTAAAGCCACGGTTCTGAATACTACTCCACATACACCTAAGTGGCTAAAATTAAAAGGCCGGACAATATCAAGTGTTGACAAGGATAGGAAGTAACCCGAGGGGATTGTTCCAGGAACCTGTAAGAATGAGAGGCTCGTGACTGTGAATGAGAGGTGAGTGACTGTGTGACCCTGTGTCAGTGGCCTCTGTGTCTGTCTTGCTCCTGTCCACGCAGCGGCAGAGGCTGATCAACTCGGCCAACAGTGTGAGCAGCAAGCCACTTCAGAACGGGAGACCTGAGAACGTGCAGAACGGAGACGTCCCCGGGGAGAACCCCGAGGACCCTCAGCAGGATCAGGAGCAGCAGCCGCCGCCCCAGCCGCCACCCCCGGAGCCGGAGACAGCGGAGACCGTCTTCCTGTCCCCCTTCTCCGTGCCAGGTAAGTTTGGGGGCTGCCGGGCCGTGGAGCCAGGTATCAGCACCCTCTCCGCTCTCTAGAGTTGACCCTGTGGGCCCAGTGTCATCTGGCTGCTGGCTCCTCGTGGACTTCATCTTTTCTGCTCGCTCTTTTGTCCTCTGCCCCCGCCACACCAGGCTCCTTGCTGCCACTCCCAGACGCCAGCTGCTCTCCTGCCTCAGGCCCTTTGCATGGTCCTTGCCCTGAGTGCACATTCCCTCATCACTCCTGTGGCTTGTTCCCTCATCCTTATGACTCTTCTTAAATGTCTATCATTGTGGCCTTCCCAGATCACTTTATTTAAAACACTTAATATTTTCCTTATCTTGCGTGTCTCCCCCAACTAAAATGCCGGCTGCACAGAGGCGGGTGTCTTTATCTGTTTTGTCTGACCACAAAACACCACTGTCCCCGCTTAGTAGATACCTGTGGAATGAATAAACTGAGGAGTTCACATAGAAGATCCCAGGACCCGTGAGGTCCTTCAAAGTCCTAGACAGGAAATGAGATCTTCAGATCCTGGGTCCCCGCATTGACTTAGAGATTTTTTTCCTGGTGTTCACCATACTGAGAGGCAGCAGAATTCCAGAATTTTCAAATCCCAAATGTGATTTTTTTTTCTGAAAAGAACCCTATGTTTAGCATCAGCCTCACTGAGTACCTGATTTGGGGGCCTGGAGGCATGGAGGCTGCACCTCTCATCCAGCCTTGGGGGATGCTCCTGACTACATGGACAGCATGGGCCTGCCAGGCTCTGGGGCACAGCTGCTATCCTTGGGGTCACTGGCTTCCCCGGGGATGTCAGAGACGCAGGAGGAGGGAGTCATCCCTGTGTTGAGTGAGCTGTTTGGACACATAGGTGAGGGAATAGTGCCAGAGGGCAGGGTCCTGGTTGGTCAGCAGGTCCTCCAGGAGAGTCAGCAGTGGGGACATTGAGCCGGGACACCCCAGGTAGTCACTGTGGGTTTCTGATACCAGCCCAGTTCCTCTCCTGTGTCTACATAGGCTGATAAAGGGACTCGAAACATACCTGAGGTCACCAAAGTAGTTTCAGTTTCTCAGGGCATGGAGACCAGTGCAGGGAAGGCTGAAGCATGCCCACAGCAAGGAGGCTGCAGGCGGGGTCTCAGGAACAGCCCAGCTGGCCTGTGGGTGAAGAGGCCCAGCTGCCATGTGAAAATCTGCATCTTCAGCTCTGCATCCCCATTGCCCAGACATGGGACCCAATGGGACCACAGCTACCACCCTCCACTGTCGCCCTGGTCCCATGCTGCCATGGCCAGGCGTCTACAGGAAAATCAGGGAAGGGGTCCATTCCTGCTCTGTAAAGTGAGACCACCAGGTAGAAGGATGCCTCTCAATTTCCTTCCACCCTGGACTGTGGCAGGAGTGGGTGAGGAGACCCCAGGCCAGCCACCCTCGCCATATTTTTGCTCTGGGATCTGGTCCTCCTCAGAGATAAGCTGTGGCATCTCTGGGCAGTTCACCTCCCCTCCAGGATGGGGGGCTTAGAGTGCAGCTATCTTGCAGGTGTGGGGATCTCGTGGCCCCGGTCTTCCTGCTCCCAGGCTCTCTGCTCATCCTCCAGTGAGGCTGCCTGCCCTTCCTGCTGTGGTTGGCCCATCTTCTACCCCAGGCTCAAGCCCCTGGGCCCCATCATGTCCATCCTGTCCAAGCCCAGTGCAGCGAGCTTCCTTCCTGTCCTCAGGAATAGGCCAGGGTTCCTGTGTCCCAGGGACAGCTCCTTTTGTCCTGCAGATGTGTTTCTTGGGTTGCCCTTGGAAACCACAAGACACTTCCTCCCCTCCAGTCCTGTAGGGAGAGCAGCGGGTGGTAACAGAGTTGGGCAGCTGCTGTTTCTGGGTGTACAGCAGCTGGGGGAAATTGAAGCAGCCTAGGCAGAGGTTTACAGGAAGTTAGAGCAAGCCAGTGAGACTTCATGGCCAGAGAAAGTCCCTGTACCCAGCAGGGCCTTTCCCCAAGTGCCTTTTCAGCTCATCTCTGGTTTTGGATTCATGATGGCAGGGTGGCTCTGAGCATGCTCCTTAGGTGTGATGGTGTTCTGGGCCCCTAGGTGGGATCATAGCACCAGGGAAGAAGCACCAGGGACTAAGGCCACGGGAGAAACCATCCCAGGGGCAACTGGAAGCCCAGTGAGCATTAAGGAGTCAAGAAGTGGGGCTGGGCCAGACCCATGTCAGCTCTTCTGTGTTGCCAGAAGAAGGCACTGGCTCTGGGGTCCAGAAGTTCTGGATCAGAATCTCAGTTCTGCCACACACACACCCCAATACCATGCCTCTAGACCAGCAGCTTTACCTCCCCAAACCCCCCTTCCCCATCCATGAAATGGGGGTGTTGGCACATAGCTTCTGAGGTCGCTGACAGTGGTCAACCTGATAAGCTGATCAAGGTCCTTCCCCCGACATATGGAGGGCACACAGTAAATGTTCATTTGGTCCCAGGTGCGCCTTGGCCTTGTGGCTTCCGCAGTACCCAGTTTCTTTGGCCTGGACCACCAGCAGGGTTCTAGTAAGGTCACAGGTGCCAGAGTCTCTGGGGACCTCTGGGCCTGTCATCATTCCAGGGGCCAAGGAGAGGAAATTAGCAAGTGCTGAGCATCTGTTCTGTGCCAGGCACTTTGCCAGTGTCTCTCGGTCAGTAAAAATCCAGGTATCAGACTCTGTTCCTGGCTTCCAGAACCTGAAGGGAGCATGTTAGGTCATGGTCAGCATCCAGCAGCTCCCCGGCTGGGAGCCACCTAGTCTGATGCTGGGCTGCTCTTCCCACTTGGGATTCCAGGGGTTGGGAATCAGGCTTCCCAGGGAAAAGGAGGAGCTTTGTCTCCCATGGAAGTTATGGGCTGCAGCCCCAGCTCTGCCTAAGGCTCAGCGTGGGAAAGCCCCTGGCACAAGCTGTTGTTTGTGGCTGGCTTATGGTCTGGGATGTCTTGTGAGTACACAGAGGCCCCTCCCTGACCTCCCAATATGATCTTTCTCTCCTGCTCCTTGGGGAAAGGAATCACACTGGGCTCACCAGGATGCTGACCTTCCTGTCCCCTATTGTTACAGCAGCCATATCCACTGGGGGCCTGCCATGTCCCAGACACAGGGCAAAACAGACTATTCTTACGGAGCTCTGAGTCTGTCATTACAGAATAGCCTGGGCTGGTGCTTTAGCAACAGAATGGATTTTCTCGTAGTTCTGGAGTCTGGGAGTCTGAGATCAGGTGCCTGCTCGGTTGGGTTCTGCTGAGAGCCTCTCCCTGGCTGGTTTTTCCTCCGTCTACACACCTGGAGACAGAGCCAGTGAGATCTCTCTTTCTTCTCTCCGTATAATGATTCAGATCCCCTCTTATGACCCCACTGAAACTTAAATACCTCTGAAAAGCCCCTCTCCAAACACAGTCACATTAAGGGTTAGGGCTTCAACATACACACTAGGGTAACAGGGTCACAGTTTGGGTCTTTGAGGACTTCTAGGTGTTGTGCTCTGTTTGAAGAGTTTCACATGTGTTTTGTCACTTGAGCCTCAAAATGACATGAGGTGGGATGACAATTATCTCCATTTTACAAAGAGGAAGGAAGCACAGAGCTGGTAGACGTCTTGCCTATGGTCATCCAGTGACTAACTGGAAAGCAGTTTCTGCCTGAACAGCCATGCTAGCTCTTGTGCTGGCTCTGTAGGCTTTGCAGTTCCACAGAATCCTCACAGCTACCTTGTGAAGGCGTAGTGCTGTCATCCTCACTTTACAGTGAGAGAAACTGAGGTTCAGAGAGGCAAAGGGACATCCAGAGTCACACAGCCATCACATGGGAAGCCACATTTCACCCTGTGCTTCCTGGACTGTGGCTGCCATCAAGGACTGGTCCAGCAGAGAGCAGAGTCTTAAACCATAGGCCCCAGGGCTATTACACAGCAGGCAAGAGGCTTTTGAGATGTACCCTCCCCTGTGATGCAGTTTGGCTGGTTTCATCGGAGAAGTTGAAGTCCAGCTCTGGGAGCTCTTGGGATGATAGCAGGAGGTGAAACTAAATGAGAGCTTACTCTGGGCCAGGCAGGGTGATTTGCACATGTTACACATGAGTGCTTGTGATGGCCCTGGGGAGGTAGGTTCCAGTGGCATTCCAGATCCACAGCCAGGTTAGCCCATGTCATAAAGGAAAGAGTGTGCTTAGACTTGCGCACTGGTGTTCTGAGCTCAGACTTGCACAGGGGATGACATCATAATGAATTCTTTTGGTTCTCCAACCATCGGAGCTGTGAGGAAATTGGTTGCTTCTGTCCAGGAAGCCAGTGTCCTCCAGCTCGTATCCAGATAGCTTTGTGCTGAGTCCACTGTGATGTGTTGAGTCAGGTTGGGGGTCTTGGGGCTGGGATGGAACCACTTGCCCTTCTCTCTGTATTATAATAAAACCCCGAACTGGCAGTCAGGAGATGCCCTTCTCCCCATTCACTCCCATCTTCCTCAGCCTGAGATGGTTTCTGAGAGTCCTGCTGGTTGGGAAGAGGGAGACCTCTAAACCCAGAAACGGGACCTTGCACAGCTCCTCCTCATACCTTTCTTTCCTCTCAACTGGGAAACCCATAGAGAGGCTGTGTGGGCCATGGCTCAACTGACACTTGCGGTTCCATCCTTGGCTCTGTCTGGCCCTGAGGGTGGAAATGGCCTTGGTTGAAATGCCTCAGTTGTGGCAGCTGGCTGCAAGATTGCACGTTTCATGGACTGGTCCATGAGCCGAGGTCATCACATCAAAGATGTACCCTTGTTGGTTACTCTTCCTGTTGCTGAGGTGTCAGTGCACATATGAACGAACTCTGGCTGGGTGTTTTACTTCTTGAGAGGACAGCTTTATTGTAATGTAATTCACTCCGAGGGTTGTTCATACCACTCTGTGCCAGAGTGTGACTCAGTGGTACGGGGCTTGCTGAGTATGGAAGAGGCCCTGGGCTCCATCCCCAGGACTGTGAAAAAGAGACGCTGT